GCACGAGCTGAGGGTGAATGGGACAGACTCCTCCATACTTTCTAGGTTCTGACCAAAATAACTCTATATATTATCCTCTGAGGACTATAGTAAAGATGATTTGCCGTGTCTGGAATGTTTCACAGTATGGCATTATTCTTTTCTATCATCATGGAGACCAAACCAGACCAGGTAACAGGTCAGAAGACAGGCGACTTCACTCACAGTCAGAAAGCCTGTTTTTTGAGGTGTTTTGATTGTGAGGCATAAAACCACCTGTAATCGAATGAATGTAAAGTAGAGCTTTTTAATGTCATACTGTGGAACATTCCAGGCAAAGCAATGACATCTCAATAGAAACAAGCAGGTGACGGACCCGCAACCAAAAAGTTACATAGTGCAGCTTTAATATGGCACATTTGAGAGCTGAAAAACGGAGGACCGATGAGAGGAACCGAGGAGAAGGAAGCGAGGAAAGAGAAATGCGATGTGCTCAGAGTAGTGGAGGGAGTTTATATTTAGCCTGAGGTCTGGAAGGCTGCACGGCTAATAGTGTGTGGAGCCAATAGAAAAGAACCAGAGGCAAGAGAAGAAGACGAAGAAGTATAAAGCAGAAGATGAAGACCAACCACAGACACACTGACAGAGCACATATCCAGGAGACAAATCTGAAAGATGACTTAAACATGTGCTCTTAGTGGAAATGTGGAACTGTATTATACTGAAATAGACCTGTCAAGATGATTACTACATCAACTTAAATATGTGAAAGCTGGAACTACCATATTTTCCACACTGTAGGGCGCATTTAAAAGCTTTTAATTTAATCCAAAAACGACTGCGCGCCTTATAAACCAGAGCGCCTTAAATATGAATTTACTGGGGTGTCTTAGTACGACTTTAGTAAACTACAAAGCCGCACAACTTGCAGCGTTACGGCTTCTGTAATCAGGAGCATCAGGAGTAATACATACTGTGATTCCTTTTAATATCAAAATGCACCAAGAGACACGCTTACAACACTCACTTTAAACTCAAGGCTGTTATAAAGTGAAAGTGCGAGCTGCGTGGGAGCTAGGGGTGTGCAAAAATATTGGAATATCGATATATCGTACGGTTTAATGTAATGATACAGTATCGATATTGTGGGCTACTGTATCGATATATCACCAAGAGTATTTTTACGTGTGTTTTACTAAATTATTTTGTTACAGTGCTACAGTTTTGTTGCTTGTTTAGTGAAAGGAAATTCATTTATGCAACACATTTGACATTTTGACTCTATTTTGAGGATTAAAATGTTTGTGTTTCATATGAACTTTGCACAAGAAGTGGTTTAACAAAGACTTTTAGTATCACAGCCATGATTTAGCCTTTATTTTTTAGTGAACTGTATCGAATTGATTTGAAATATATATCGAATCGAAAGTGCATTGTATCGAGATATGTATCGTATCGTGGCCTGTGTATCGAGGTATGTATCATATCGGCAACTTCTTAATGATACCCATCCCTAGTGGGAGCAGTGGATGAGAGAAGGAGAACACACATTCACCAAGACAGGGAGACAGCGCCGAGCCACTTGCGCCACGATCTGCCGACGGATCATGGACGCCTGGGCTAAGGATCAGTATCAACTGTGGTCCGAACTTTCAACAAGACCAGAATTATCACTGAACTGCCAGGGAACAGTAACCACACTGACTCGGATAACGAAGAGAGGGATGTGGGCGTGCTGGACGTTGTAATCGCCCAACTGTTAAAACTATTATGACTTATTGTGAATACACTAACAATTCAGCATCTCAGAGAGTATTTTTAACACGTTACAACTGAACAAAGTTGAGAGTTATTGTGAGCGCGTTAAATACATTTTGACTGACTTATCTAACTGTTGTGTTTCTTTTAATGCGCCTTATATTCCGGTGTGGTTTATTTGAGAAAAAAGTAAAAAAAAATAGACCATTCAATGAGCGCCCTATAGTGCAGAAAATACGGTATATATTTTTAGTCAATATTTGTCTTGTGTACATTAGGGCTGGATATCATTAAGATGTTGCCGGTATGATACTTTTTTTTCTATACAGTGCACTTTAGATTTTATTTTTATTATATATATATAAAATCGATTCAATACGGTTCAGTAAAAAATCAAAGGTTAAATCATGGCCGTGATCATAAAGTCTATTAAGTTAATATGAAAAACACCCATTTTCCTCATCAAAACAGTGAAAATGTACTGAATGTATTGCATAAATAAATTCCCTTTCTCCAAACAAGCAACACAACGGTATCTCTTTCACAAAATTATTTTGTAAATTATTATAGCACACCCCGAGTGTACATTTTTTGGGAAATTTGTGGGTTTTTTTTTTGGCTATACGACAAGATTTAAGATGTAAAATTAAGCTGTTGAATGAATGACTTCTATGACTCATTACAGATGTAAATACTAAAGTTTTTGATTCTGCTGTTTATTTATTGCAGCTCATGGTTTTTTATCAATATTGTAGATTTAGAATAGTTTTTATGGTTTTAATTAGTTTCTGTATTATCATTTGTCATCTATACTTACTTAAATTTACTGAAATCTAGCAAACTTAACTATAACTTTTCTAGGATTCAAAACTGAGCTGGAGGACATATTGCACTATTTTTTGTTGTTACAATGTTGTTTCCTCATCACAAACAGACCTGGAGTTTTGTTTCTTTCACAGAAGTTTAACACACAAAGCCTGCATATTTAGGCTTCTTCTCTCTTGTTCTTACCTCAAACGGAAAACACTGTTCCACTGTGTTTATTTCAAATGCCATATACCTTCACTAGAATCATTTGGATCATTTCAGCCCTGGAATTGCCGATCTCTACTGAAAAAAAGCTAAAAGGAGCTGTTGAGTATTTTGACCTTTGAAGATGCAGACAGACTAATAATAAAGGATTACTCAAACATGTGTGAATGAAACAAAACATAAGTCCAGGGCTGTTTGTGATGAGGAAACAACGTTCTAACATGGCTTAAAGTTCACAAGAGTCAGTTTTGTGTCAGATTTGTTGACCTGGTTTATGGTTCGTATCTCTGTAATTACAGGGCCTATCCTCAGGAAACAATAGCTGTTGTCAGATGAAACTTTAAACCACAAGATTAATATGACAAGTCTGTGGGGCCAATCCCAAACAATTATAAGGTTCAACATTGGCAGATTAAACCTTTGAATACATCTTTCAAAAACACCTCCGATCGTTATGGTGATACAACGGATCCCATTAACATTGCCTAGGGCTGTGATGATAACTGTAAGCTCTGCTCTGTCTGAGGAGTTTGTCTTTGAAGGTGCATTGTGTAATTTTTCTGGTGAAGGATCCGTCAAATCTTGTCTCCATGGAGATGTTATTGTTATGTCTGGTATGTTTCATAATATGGTATTAAACCTTTTTATCTTCATGGAGACCAAACCAGAGTAAGTTACAGGTCAGATCTGTGGGGAGCGACCCTGCTCACAGTCAGAATGTCTTCTTGGTATTTTTGAGCAAAAGAAACACTTGTAATTGAATACATGTAAGGTAGAGCTGTTTAATGTCATACTGTGGAACATTCCAAGCAAAGAAAGGGCATATCCATAGAAACAAGCAGGTAATGGACCCCAAACCAAAAAGCCGATACTTTATTTTAACACAGTCTGACCATAAAAGCCTGACTTATCTGGAACAACAGGTGATCTGATTTGTGCTGTTAAAAGGTGCATGTAACTTTTCTGGTTCAGGGTCCGCCATGGGTTTGTCTCCATGGAGAGGTTATTGTTTTACCAGGAATGTTCCACGGTATGGCATTAAACTTATATACCTTGCATGTATTCAATTCCAGGTTTTTTAATGCCTGAAAAACATTCATTCTTATTGTGAGCGGGGTCATTTCTCCACAGATCTGACCTGTAATCTGACGTGACAAGATCATCTACACAGGTATAGTTACCATATTATTGAGACTATAAGACACACTTAAAATCCTTCCACTTTCTCAAAAATCGACAGTGCACCTTATAATCCGGTGAGCCTTATGTATTAATTCTGGTTGTGCTTACTGACCTCAAACTTATTTTAAGTGGTACACAGTGCTCGAAAATCTGTCAAAATGTTTTAGTATGACTGCTAAACTACGAAGCTGCACTGCTTGATGGATTGTCAAAGCATTACAGCTACTGTAGTCAGGAGCCTAGCAGAGTGAAGGACGAAGTATAAGTATGCGTCGACTCAATGCACGCTGCCGCCGTCGCCTTGTCACAGAACGAACACTCATATTCCACTGAGTCGTGTCCTTTAGTCCGACAGAAGTTGAACCGCATCAAGGAGCAAGCTGTTTTTTCAGCACTTATAGTTTATGCAAATGAGCCATGTGGCTTTAAGTTTTGTTTCTGTAAAACAAACAAATGTGCACAAATCTGCATTAAACACATTATTACTCAATGTATATTTAAGTCCTCCTCATAAGAAATAAAAAAATAAATAAAATAAGACTTAAATTATAACCCACATTCACATTCAAAATACATATTCACCAGCACAGGGAAGCTGGGCAAGTTGCGCCACGATCTGCCAATGGATTGTAGATGCCTGGGCTAAGGGATCAGTCTCAAGTGTTGTCCATTTGTTTCGATTAATGTGCCTTATAATCCGGTGCTCCTTATGTAGGAAAACAGATGAGAGAATTCAACATTGATTGATACTGCTCCTTATAATCCAGTGCGCCTTACAGTGTAAAAAATATGGTCATTACATGACTTACTGTGGAACATTTTAGGCAAAGCAATAATGTTTCCACAAAGATAAGCAGGAAACTGACCCTCCACCAAAAAAATGCAGATTTAAACAAGTTCGACCTCTACACACATTCTCTGAAATGCTTGGGGTTCTCGTTTAGTTCAGTTTAAAAGAAATAATGCATATAAAAACAAAATTGCAATTGATTCCTATTCCAAGTTCATCCAGATGTGGCTGTTGGGTCAGACTGGTCAGAGTGAGGTACCTCTTTGAGATGGTCAGCGCTGCCCCAGGATGCTGAGCGCTGGTGGGGGGCCCCCTGCTCTGCTGCTGTCTCCTCCACCCACAGGCCTGGAGTCTGGAGTGCAAAAACACAACACCAGATCACAAGTGCATTCAAAACACATGGTCCAAAGTAAAATGCAGTGCACTGGCCCCCTCAAAGACTAATTTTTAACCTCATAGTCTAAAAACTCGCTGAGCAAAGAATGATAAAACAAATGATACTTTATGCTTGCAGTGTTATCATAAACATATAGAAGTAAACATTTTTAATCTGTAATCTGTGCTTTTTTGTTCAGTAGAGGCAATAATTTACATTTATACACCAAAATATTGTATAAAAAAATGATTCAAATATGGATTGGAAGAACTGAGAGGTCCTGTTTGTTCATGATAAACTGTCACAGCAACAAGCAGCAGGATTTAATTTCCATGTTTTTATTTTTGATAAATGTTCACATGACAGTTTTGAAGCAAAAGTAAATGACATGTAGTAATCACAAGTACAGAGCTATGGGCGTGGGTGAAAACAAATACATAGATCAATCGAAATCCAATGCTTAAAATGTCCCGTTAAAGCCTTTACTGTAGTTGTATAAATGGCCTAAAATGTTACACTGTTTGAGCGCTGTTTACTTCCACCCTGAACTTGTGTGCCATTTTTTCTTCTCTATTTAGGAGATGATGAGAGAATGAGAAGGACAAAGGGGAAGATGAGATGATGAGGAGAGGTGAAGGGTATGATGAGAGGATGAGGAGAGAAAAGGGGACAATGAGAAGATGAGGAAAGTGAAGAGGATGATCAGATGATGAGAAGAATGAAGGGGACTACGAGAGAATGACGAGAGTGAAAGGTACTACGAGAGGATGAGTAGAGTAAAGGGGACGATGAGAGGATGTGGAGAGTGAAGGGCAGAAAGAGATGATGAGAAGAACGAAGGGGACGAAGAGAGGATGAGGAGAATGAAGTGGACGAAGAAAGGATGAGGAGAATGAAGTGGACGAAGAAAGGATGAGGAGAATGAAGTGGACGAAGAAAGGATGAGGAGAATGAAGTGGACACTGAGGGAATGAGGAAAGTGAAGGGGGCGAGGACATGATGAGAAGAATGAATGGGATGATGAGAGGATCAGGGGAGTGAGATGATGAGATGATGAGGACAGTGAAGGGGCTGATGAGATGATGAGGAGAATGAAGGGGACAATGAGAAGATGAGGAACATGAAGAAGATGATGAGATGATGAGAAGAATGAAGGGGACGATGAGATGATGAGAAGAATGAAGATGATGATGAGAGAATGAGGAGAGTGAAGGGGACGATGAGAGGATGAGAAGAGTGAAGGGGACAATGAGAGGATGAGAAGAGTGAAGGGGACGATGAGATAAGAGTGAATGGGATGATCAGAGAATGAGGACAGTAATGATTTGACAAGGAAGAGGTGTAGGGAAGAGGAGTATTTGGAGTGAGGTGATGAAGGCTGAGGAGCAGGTAAACTCCGGAGGTAGACGGGAGCAAAGTTAGGTCTTCCAAGCTATGTTTACATCAGCTCCATTTCTTCTCATGTGCTTTATAAAATATGAAACTACTAAGTGCAAGTGGAAAAACATTTGAGACAATAATCTATCTTTATCCAGAGCAGACGATCAGCTGAGGCGTCTGAATTATTAAAGACCGGGGCAGACAGTTTAAAACCACATCCCCGACCAGCAACTTTTATTTGGATTCCACTGCTCCAGCACATCATTACTGCACGATTACACCGACACATAATAAACCACAGAGTAACTCTACGGACATACGCTGGACTTCACACGTCTCACACACACACACACAGGCACCGATGAGTTCACAGAGGTCACATCCACAAATCTGTAGCCACATCAGGCCCCAGGGCAGCTGTGACGACGGAAACAGCTGACCGCCATGAATAAATGAGGAGGAGGGACTGAAGAATGGGCGGATTTGAAAACCTTTGAGTGTCGATACCAGTACTGATGTGTCCCTAAGTGAGTTTCAGTTTAGTTTTTGACACTCCCCACTCTCTTTCAAAATCAGAATTACATGTATTCATCCTCAAGGGAAATTCTTCTTGTTACAGACATGCAGCTGAACAGTAGAGGAGTGACCAAAAATAAAGTTGAGAAAGTTTAAGTATGACATATCAGTAAATCTGAATCTGAAAATATAGTACCCTAATAACATATTGACTATAAAAAAAATATCAAAATATCATATAATTTAATGAGATGATACAGTATCGATATCAGGGACAGCTGTATCAATATATCACCAAGAGTATTTTTTGGTATATTTTACAAAATTATTGTGTTCCAGAGCTACAGTTTTGTTTTGTGTTCAGAGGAAGGATACTCGTTTATGAGACACATTTGACATTTTCACAGTTTTGATGATTAAAATGGGTGTGTTTCATTTCAACTTTGCACAGGAAGTGGTTTAACAAAGACTTTTAGTAAAACAGCCATAATTTTGCCATTATTTTTTTATGAACCGTATCAAATTGATTTGAAACATATACTAAATCGAAAGCTCACTGCACTGAGATATGCATGGTATCGTGGCCTATGCATCGAGGTATGCATCGTATCGGCAACTTCTACATGATACCCAGCCCTAATATTGACATCTTTATACGGTTTTACAACATTGAGGTATGAACAGAATATTGCAGCAGGATTGCACAGTGAGACTTTCACAGCACAGTTCAGCAGTTTGATGCCAACAGGCAGAAATGATTTCCTGTGTCTCTCAGTGGAACAGCGTGGCAGTAACAGTCTATGTCTGAAAAAGTTCCCTCTTCAGAGCATTAAAGCAACACACCTCACTAATCAAACTGCAACATATCACATCAGGTTTGTGCAGTTGTAGTGTATTGTTTTGTATTGTGCTTTTATTTATGACAAATGTCTGCACTGGAGCATGGATTATATACACTGTAAATTCCTCTGATCTGGCCAAGAGTTTAAAACTTAAATCAGGTTATTCATCTTGTTTTCAGATTTATTATCTACTGACTAGTTCTGAGACTGCTTAATTTTAGTCTAGAGGTTGTTTATTTTAAGATAACTTGTCAAATAAAATGATCTTGCTGCATGGACACATCATTTCACTACTTTTAAGTCATATTCTGATAGATTTAAGTATTAACTGCTAACTGTGGGAAGGTCAAACAGTGCCTGGGAGCGATCACTAGATTGCTCAAACCTGCACGGATGACATTTAAAACCTCTGCAGGTATGTTTTTGATGAGGGAATGTTATAACATGGTAGAAAAATCCAAAAAGTAGATTTTGCATAATACCCCGTCTTTAAAAGTAAATGTTTAAAGTGCACTAATTTGGATTTGAACTTATAAGGTGCACTGTGCAACATTTCTGGTGGAGGGTCCGTGAAAGGCTTTAATCCATGTAGATGTAACTGCTTTGTTTGGAATGTTTCACAATATGGCACTAAGCCTTTCTATCTACATGTAGACCAAACCTGACAAAGTTACAGGTCAGATCTGTGGAGAGGCGGTCCCGCTCGCTGTCAGAACACCTGTTTATCTGGGTATAAAACCTATAAAACCACCTGTCAATTAAAGGTGCACTATAATGTACTGTACTTAGGTACTTCATATATCTTACTACTTTGCTTGGAATGTCCCACAGTATAGTATTAAATTTATTTGTCTCACATTACACAAATTACTGGTATTTTATTGCTGAAAAATACCTTAAAAACATGCATTCTCATTGTCATTATCATAGTCGCCTCTCCACAGTTCTGACTTTTAACTTGACCTTGTAGCGTCACTTGCTTGCTTCTTTGGAAATGTATATGTTTAATGCCATGCTGTAAAAAACTCGAGGCAGAGCAATGACATATCCACAGAAACAAGAAAAGAAGGACCACCAACCAAAAAGTTACACAGAGCACTTTCAAACAACAACCGAGAGCCCTGTTCCCACACACCGCTGTAGATATAAAGTTCTCCTCTGTGCATATTAAGACTCCCGAGCGGACACTTGCTCACTCCGCTGGCTCTGCTTCTCTGGAGGACAGCAGATGAAATGGGAGCTTGTGTCCTCATAAAGACTCCAGTGTGTGGCGCGCGCTGGAAGGCAGATGTGGAGTTTCGCTTTGGGACATTAGCATTTCGGAATGAGCAGCGACGTTTGAACACAGGGCCAGAGGAGAGAGAGGAGAGGAGGTCTGACCCATTCATAAAGCACAGAATAGACAGAGCCCCACACATGCTCGATGACGTCAAGGAGTTCTGATCCTCACAACGGCCAAAGTCAGGCAGAGGACAACTGTGGACCATGTGCGACTATGGTGGCACATAGAAATTCAGATTCATTAATATTGCGTATGTCATGTTTCAGCAGTCTTCAGAACAGTATAGTAGGGCTGCAACTGATTATTTAAAGGTGACTATTTCTTTCAAAGCCCTATCTTGATGGAGACCATACCAGACAGACAGATCTGTGGAAAGGCAACCCCACCCACTGTCAGAATGCCTGTTTTTCTTGGTATTTTTGAGCAATAAAACCAACTGTAATTGAATAAATGTAAGATAGAGCTGTTTAATGTCATAACGTGGAACATTCCAGGCAGAGCAGTGACATATTATCCATAGAAACAAGCAGGTGAGGTGACAGACCTGCAACAAGAAAGTTACACAGTGCACCTTAGGACTGTCCAAATGTAGTTTTGTTTGGTTAGTTTATTTTACAGGAGCCGTATACAGGATCTATAGCCAGACTATAGAGCTCTCGCTTCCATCTGCACTCCCTGAGACGTACAAAACATAGAAAGTAAAGCGTCATTTTGTAACTGTAAATGATGATGGGGATGCAACAGTACGTTTTTTCCATGATTTGATACAGGGGTCATGATATCGATTCAATTTTGATACGTTTTAAGACATGAAAAAAAAAAATCTCATCTATTTTCTTCTGGTAATGAGTATAATATAATAACACTATGATATCAATGACAAAATACATACATTACACACAATAAATTGCAGTACAACTACTGTACAGTTATAGTTTACATGTGAAGTGTTTTAG